GTAAAGAAGTCCATTTGCTTTTTGTTTAACTTGCTAACTAACTGAAAATACAACTCATTGGTCATTTTGTACTGAAGAGTTTGATCATCATTAGTAGAACAACTAGGTAATCCAAGATCTACTCCAATGTCATAGTTCTGGTGATTTTCTGGACGCTTTGGGTCAAAATACACAAATGCCTCACTTTCCCTACTTCCTTCTTCCAAGTCTTCTTGTTCAGTTTGCTCTGCACTAGGTGCAACTCTATCAAATTGTACATCAGCCTCTTCAGCTTGCCTCTGTGCCTCTTCCAACTCCCCTGCATTGCGTTCATACTTCTTTACTTTAGCACCTATAAAACTCTTCAGTTGGTTGTATTTTTCTTCATATGTTGATTTGTTTCCTTTTATGTCTATTTCTTCCTTTCTCCACGGATGGAAAAGCAAAATCCTTTCTCTATAATGATTTTCAGAATCAACTTTGATGGAGTAGTTGACATAACGAATGCATTTAGCCTTCCTCCTTTGCCTTATGATGATGCCATTTTTTAAAACTATCCTAATCAGCTCTGAATTGATCTCTTCATCTTCCAATTCTCTGAATTCTTGTTCATCTTCAGAATCATCATTTTGCTCTAGAAGCTCATCATTTTCTTTGAATTCTTTTGGATATACAATTTCTAGTTCTGCTGCATAGTCTGCTAAACACCAGTTTTCAAGTTGCCTTGGTCTTTGAGAATAACGCTTGATCACACTGCTTGCATGAATGTCTGTGGAATTCTCTGGTAATTCTTCTAAAGCAGACTTACATTTCAATAGAAGAGTTCTTTCTTCTGGTGGTGATGTATTTATAAATACAACATCTCTTGAAATTTTTGTTAAGGGCAATTGTAAATTCAAGTATGCCGCTTCTTGTGCACTTATCTCAACTGCATTCAAGAACTTGTTTCCCATGTGTCGAACCTGTTTTTTCAAATCCATATTTCATTCTCTTGCTTCCTTACATGCTTGATCAAGCAGATTACTCATTCCACGTTGAGACTTGCTAATGTAGGACACTATGTACATGGCACATGCATATGGGTCCAACACAAACTGCAAATCATGATTAGCTCGCCATGCTGTCAAAACATTTTTCATATAAGGATTAACTCTTATTTCACTAGGGGTTCTCTTCAGAAAAAGCTGTGGTCTATCAAGGGAACTTCTGACTGACTTTATGTAATCTTCTTTTTCCAGGTTCAGTGATCGTAGAAATTCATTGAAAGAAATACTTTTCCTTTCTTTCATATCTGCTAATTCTTTCTTAACCTTTGCAAAAATTTCTTTGTATCTCATTGAATCTGGATCATCTGCTGTTAAAGGTTCTAAAATCAAAGTTGAATCCATAGGAGGCTGAGGAAATCCAAATCGACAAATGTCTTTTCCTTTTTTCCTACATGTTCTGGAATGTTTGTGAATTTGTAAATCTACAAATTCTCTATCGTCATCATCACAGTTTGCAGAGCAAGACACATACTTGTCTATAAATTGTGCAATTTCAGACACTGAATCTTCTTTAAATTTTTGAGCATCTTTTATCCACATGAGCATATGAATGTGAGGTGATCCTCTATGCTGAAATTCAACACGATAAAAAAAAATCTATCAGTTCCCCGACAGGATGATCCTCATTCTTCAAAACAGTATTAATAAACACATGTACTCTATGATCAAAAAAGCGAACACATGTTACCGGATCTTTTTGCACCAAGTCAGTTTTTTCAGCCCATGTCATATTGTCTATTTCTTCATCAGTTAGTGATTTCTTGAGATTGAGTTGAGCAAGAGTTTTGAGTAACTCAGACCATCTTGTATCTGCTGCTGATAAAGATGCAAACCATGTTGGTAATCCCAATTGTCTAATCATTGCAAACAACTCTTTCTTTTTGGCCTCAAGATATGGAGGACTGTTCCGTAAAGTTCTAAAAATGTAATATCCCTCATCTAATCTTGTTATCTTGTCAAGTATTTCCTGATTGAGAACATCACCAGCTGTTAATTTCTTCTCTGTGCCCTTGCATCTTCTTAATACAAGATTAACTTTGTCTGATATTTGCTTCATTTGAATTTTCTTCATTTTGAAAAATAAATTTGGCACACTGTTTGCTGCACGTCTGTCAATATTTCTTAGTTCCCATTTCACAAGATCACTGTAATAAACTTTAACTTCACGATCATCATTTGATGCCATCCTCTGACCACAGTAAATGGTTGGAAAAGACAAGAATTCTGCATCCTTAGTGTACAAACTCAATGGGGTTTGACCTTCTCCTGGAGCAAACGTATACACCTGATCTTGCACAGGATTTGCATCATCCAATAATTTATCACAACTGCCAGAATTCCCCTCTCTTTCATTAAGTTCTTCAAAATGACTCTCTTCTAACCTGTCTGATGTGCCATCAAGGTTTGTATTCCTTGCTTCAGTACACCCAGAAGTACTTGTGTTAAAATATTCTGAAATAATTTCACTGCTATCTGCATTTATTCTGGCTTCCCATTCATCATCTAAATGAATATTTGCATCTTCGTACATTTGGCTATTTCTCATCAACCAGTGTAATGCAATGATTACATGCTGTGGTCTCACATTTTCCACAAAATCACAAGTTTTGTAACTTAGTCTCTTCTTTAAGCGGACTGGCACTGTAATATCATTGTTAAACTGTCTTGGCAAAGAGTTTACAGTTGGTTGGATATCTACTGGAACATTAACAACATTTCCTTTGATAGATAACTGTCTTCCTCTAGGCAACTCTCTTAGCTGCATAAATGGAATCCGTAAAGCTATGAGGCGTTCTTCTAACTGATGAAGTTCAAGTTCTTCAGATTTGGTAGGAAATTGTACATGGTTTGCTATTGAGAACTTTGGCATTTTCTTTTCTTGTATTGATTTCTTACATGTTAAACATATCCATTCTTTTCCTCCAACTGAAACATATTCGCGATTTTTAAAAATGGCGGCGGCTCACTTTCGCGTCTCGAGTAGGAAAAGAGAGATAACTCTATGCAAAATAAGAGTTATCTGTTTATTTTTTTTACGGAGTTATCTTTATGTAGGAAATGACGTAATTTTATGTTAAATTATCGTCTGCACTTCCGTAGTGAATGTAAACAAGCAGAATTTAACCATGGGTCGAAAATCCTCTGAGCTGAGTGCTGAAACTAAAAATCTAATCGTAACTTTGAAAAGTGAGAATCACAAAACTTCAGAAATAGTTTGCGTGTTGAATATTAGTGAATCTACCGTGAGATCTGTTTGGAATAAGTTTATTCAACTGTGAAAAACTTACCACGAACGGGAAGACCACGAAAGTTGTCACACAGAGATGAAAACTGGATTATGCAGACGGTCAAAAGCAACAGATACAGGACCCTAAATAATGTTACGTTGGATTTAAATGAAGGAAAATGTCCTACAGAAACTGTAAGTAAATGTACCAAGTTATACTGAAATCAGACCAAAAATGTAGTAGGAGTAGCATTTTGAAAAATTGTTTACAGACAGACAGACAGACGGACGGACACCGGACGCATTGCTATCACATAAGCTCTTCTGGTCTTTGACCAGTAGAGCTAAAAACACACAACATCAGGAGTCCTGAAATTGATTAAATTAGTCGATTTTTTTTTTATTTTGTCAATTTCTCCAAATAATTCTGTGCAGTAAGTTATATTGGGTGTATTGTAAGCATTTAATCCATTGTTTTTGCTTAAGAATAGATATTTCTTCTATTAAAGCAGTTTAGTTAGATCAAATCATTTGAAGGGCGTCATTTTTATGACTTTTAATCCTGTGTTTTATGTTTTGGCTTGTGTGTTTTTTGCGAATAGGTAGGTAAGTTTTTGAAAGATGGGTGGACGGTAAACAGAGAAAAAACTTGGAATGGCCTAAGGTATTCATATTCAAAAGTATCCGTGTGTAAATTATTTTCCTCCCACAGGTTTAAAACTGTCCGTGGTAGCTATTGCCAACGACATTGTTTAGGTCTCTGTTATAGCTTACAGTCTAAGTATCATTCTTCAGAAAAGGGTCGCTTATACATCAGATGTAATGAATAAAACTAGTGATCAGTGCTTTTAATTGTGATTAGTGCTTTTATATTTTCTTGTGTGCTTGCAGTGATTTGTGTCTGTGTTTCTATATGTGAATAAATTTGTGCTTTTCTCAAGTGTAGTGCAGTGCAAAATTACAACAATGGCCAACAAAAGGAAGAGAAACGACATGTCTCTTGCTCAAAAGTACGACATAGTGAAACTTCTCGACCAGAAAACATCACAATCAGAAAAGCGAGGCGTCTAGGAATTTCCCAATCCACTATGAGCTTAATATCAAAGAACAGATTAAAATAGATTACGAGTCGTGTGCTAATCCCGAGAAAAAACGACAAAGAAGCGGAAAATCTGCGGCAGTTCACGTAGCGTTAAAAGAATGGTTTACAGCAGCCAGACATCGGGATATTCCAATCACGTGATCCATCCTTCAAGAAAAAGCGACAGAACTTGCGGAACGCCGCCTCAACGTTACAGATTTCAAAGCAACAGACGGCTGGGTCTCCCGTTGGAAAGGCCGTGAAAACATAGGATTCAAGCGAATGCACGAGGAAAAGAAAGATGCCGACACCAACGCTGCAGACCACTGGAAAGTCAACGTTCTTCCAGAAATTCTACGAGAATACAACCCCGACGATGTGTACAATGCAGACGAAACTGGTCTTTACTACAGAGCCATTCCAGAGGGCACCCTTACATTCAAGAATCAACAGAGCAGCGGATCCAAGAAAGCAAAAGAGCGTATGACAGCTATGATCGCCACCAACATGACAGGCACGGATAAAAGAAAATTGTTAGTGATTGGGAATAGCGAAGACCCCCGACGTTTCCGATGAAAGAAGTCTTCTAGTGAAGTATGCAGTCAACAAGAATTCTTGGATGACGGGTGAAATTTTTAGTGAATGTATTCGTGATTTTAACCGTGATATGCGTCGACAGGAAAGAAAAGTGATACTGTTTGTGGATAACTGCAGCGCCAATCCCAAAGAATCAGCACAGCGACTATCCAACATCCGCCTGGAATTTCTGCCTACCAACACCACATCATTGATTCAACCGTGTGATCAAGGCATCATAAGAAATTTGAAGTCCAGCTACAGGAATGAAGTTGTGAAGAAAATCATCGGCGATATCAACAAATCGGAGCTATCTGCTAACGACCTTGGCAAGCCTGTAATACTGCTGAATGCTATTCACATGCTTAGGAAAGCCTGGAACGCCGTGAAATCATCAACGATACAGAACTGCTTCAGGAAGGCCGGAATCACAGCTGATCAACACCAGGATTCCGATGAAGACCAGAGGCCCATGGGCCTTATAGGTCACCTGAGTCTCATGCAACAACTTTCCAACAATTGAATTTGATTCATGTTTCAAACCAGAGGCCAAGAAATTCACAATTTTGAAGGAGGCACCATTGCTTATCATAATTATACACTCAGCATGCTTACTTTGGTTACTTACTACCCAGGGGTATCTCAGAGTAACAAAGAGAAAATGCATTTTCTACTTTATCAGTTGTGAACCCAGAAGTGCAGATTTCAAAGCATTAAATTATTTTCAGACTATGTCCCCCCCCCCCCCCAAGTACCTCTGACTCTGGGGCGAGAAAATTGACCATTTTTGCAAGAAGCAGCTTTCTTCATCATGAATATATACTAAGATCATTGGCATAATACCTAGGAACCAAGTATAAAAGGTTAATTTTGAAAGGATTCATGCATTTTCAATAAATAGATATTAGAGCCCCGCCCTAACACAAGACGCCCTGACCCATGGACCCTGAAATTCACAAATATCAATGAGGCATCCTTCCTCCTCATAATTATATAGTTCATTGGTTTAATACCCAGGTGCAGCCAGACCCATAACCCAGGGGCCGTGAAATTCACAATTTTGGAAGAGGCAGTCTTATTTAACAAAACTATGTACTTGGTTAGTTTATTGAATACTCAGGAGCAGAGAAGAAGATTTTCAAAGAAATAATTCATTTTTTACTGTATAACCTATACAGCCCCGCCTAGCACTAGACCCCTGACCCTGGGCCATGAAATTCACAATTTTGAAAGAAGCAGCCTTATTCAACAAAACTATTTACTTGGTTAGTTTATTATAGCCCCCGCTTGAAAAGTAGGAGGGTATATAGTAATCGGGATTTCCGTCCGTCCCTCTGTTACGCTTTATCTCTTATCCGCAACTCCTCTTACACTACTGAGTGAAATTTAATATAACTTTCACAGAATCTTTATTACATGTTGCCATGACCTTGGCCACAATTTTTTTTAAAGTTTGTGATGGACTTTTATATTTGTGTTTTTCTTGTGACAAGTCCTTCCCCTAAGTATAATTGATTTTGACCCTTTGACATTGGAGTTTGACCTATGTTTGAAAAACAAGTTTATTCATTGAAACAAGTCCTCTCTTTTGGAAGCAACATTTTTTAATCCTCATTTTTAATCCTATAGAAGCTTCTGGAAAATTTGATAGGACGAGTTATTCCTCTTTACACATTACCGTAAAACAATATATAGCAACACATGGACATTATGGGAGGCGGGGGGTATCCTTTAGTGAGCTCATTGCTCACAGTACCTCTAGTTTAATGACCATGAACAGAGAAGAAACATTTCAAAAAAATTCTGCATTTTCACTATATACTCTAGATAGCCCCGCCCTAGCACTTAAAAACCCCTGACCTCAGGTCCATGAATTTCACAATTTTGCCGGTGAAAGATCTCAACCCCCCTTTTCTGTTTGTTTGAATTCCATTGGTAATGCATCAAATTCTTTAAATATAATATATTTGTCCCCCGCTTGAAAAGTGGGGGATATTAATTTGGGTTTGTCCGTCCGTCCGTCTGTCCGTCCGTCCGTCCGTCCGTCCGTCCGTCTGTCCGTCTTTCTGTCTGTCTGTAACGCTTTCGTTTCCACACGATATCTCGAGAACCCTTTGAGCTTTTGCAATGAAATTTAGCACAGCAACTCCCTATAGACTAAAGAAGACCCCTATTGATTTTGAGGTCAAAAGGTCAAAGGTCAAGGTTATAAATAAGCAAATTCTGTCTGTTATAACACTTTCGTTTCCACACGATATCTCGAGAACCCTTTGAGCTATTGCAATGAAATTTTACATAACAACTCCCTGTGGCCTAGGGAAGACCCCTATTGATTTTGAGGTCAAAAGGTCAAAGTTCAAGGTCGTAAATTTATTCATTCTGTGTGTGTGTAACACTATTATTTTTGGGCGATATTTCAAGAAGATTTTGAGCTTATGCAATGTAATTCTATACCAGAAGTCCCTAGGACCTCTCTCGACCCTCTCAAAGTGCCCCGCCCCGTTTGTTTTATTAGTATTTATAGTATTACATGTCGCTATTTTTAGCACAGGGGCATGCGGAGAGTTATTTCGCATAAAACAGGTTCTCGGCGGACTTTATGTTCTTATAACATCTATTAGAACTGTTTAATAAAGGCTAAATAAATCAAACACCATGGATTGTATAAAATTTTGACAATATCGAGCATGAATATATACAGGTATGTGACTTCACTTCTGCATATACGCGACAACATTTAAAGCGCCTCCGTGGTCTAGTGGTATGTCTCCCGTTTCATAAGTGAGAGGTCCCGGGATCGAGTCTCGGGCGATCCTGTTTTTTTTTTTTTAATTTTCTTTTTTTTTTAATGATAGTATTCAGCATGTGAACAGAAAAATTTATGAGGTTATAAAATCATTATTACAGTGTGATAAATATTCCATATAAAAAGAATCTTCTATACACATAATAGAGAATAAGCAATCTAATCTTTATACGCATATTGACATAAATGTATTTTATTTGCATCAGTATACATGTATACATTTAATAATTCTACTAATTCAGTCAGGGGGATCCGACTTTTTCCCTAAGCGGGGGACACGAATTCTCTGAATTAGCTTGTTAAACATAAAATGACTTATACCGGTAATAATTTTGATTTAATGGACCGGGCGAATTGTCTGAAATCTGCAGAACACCATAATATACAGATAAAAGTAACACTCTTAAATATTATTTATGCAAAAATAATTAAATTTAAATATTTGAAAAAAATCCTTAAACGAACAAATTTCAAATCACGACAAGGCCAAATATCTTTATATGTATCTCACACAACTTTTCTGGCTGATTTTTTCTGAACGGTGAAAGATCTCAACCCCCCTTTTCTGTTTGTTTGAATTCCATTGCTAATGCATCAAATTCTTTAAATATAATATATTTAAACATAAAATGACTTATACCAGGAATAATTTTGATTTAATGGACCGGGCGAAATGTCTGAAATCTGCAGAACACCATAATATACAGATAAAAGTAACACTCTCAAATATTATTTATGCAAAAATAATTAAATTTAAATATTTGAAAAAAATCCTTAAACGAACAAATTTCAAATCTCGACAAGGCCAAATATCTTTATATGTATCTCACACAACTTTTCTGGCTGATTTTTTCTGACGCTGCAAGAAAAAAAATGCACAATATAAGTGCCGGAAAAACAAAGGTATCTACCATTTCATTGTTTTCGTGTATGCCAAGGTCGCGCAACATTTATTTTTAGTTCAAACTCGTTAACAACATTTAACAGGAGCATGCAAACTTGAGAAATATGTTTTAATAACGTTTTAAAAATATTGCATCAAAATTTTTGGTCGACTTACATTCCTTTTAGGAATTGAACAAAATTAACACTGGTCATGCAAAATTTTTCAATTTCTCCCTTTTTGCGTCATGTTGTCTCTTTAAGAAAACTCATTGTCAAAAAAAATATAGTCTTGATATAGGTACATGTAGAAAGGGGAAAAGACTACTAGAATGTACATACAAATATCTGAAAAGACAAAGATTATGCAAGCAGTAGCGAATCCAGAAATCTTTAGGGGGAGGGGCAGATTGGGGTCGGGGTAGGAGCCCACACTTACACCAAAAAATGATTTATTTAATCTTATTTATATTTTGGACACAAAAGGGGTGGGGTGTTACAATGCACTCTGAAAAAAAATTTCACAGTGCGTTAAATTTGGGACCAAGCTAACGCACTTTGAAAAAATTGATTTTCTTTCAAAGTGCGTTAATATCGACCATATTAACGCACTTTGAAAAAAAATGTAAAGATTGATCAATATTGCTACAAATAATCGGTATGATAAATAACAGATCCTGGTTGGATAACTTTTCTATGATAAAGTCACTTCAGGACCTGAGATATGGACGTTTCAAATATTTGAAGTTTTGATAAAATAAAAGGGAAACGGGTCTTGAAAAAAAAGAGTGACGATTGTTTAAGATCATTAATTTGTTTTTTTTTTAAATTCTTGTCTTTGATAAGTAGATATAAAGGTGTAAAGGGGGCACTAACAGTGGACAGCTTTAAGCAACTTAGCATTTATCATAATGAAAACGGGGCAATTTGATTGTTCAAAACTATGAAAATTCTTTCTCTCTCATACGTTTTACTGTACTTAAAAATTTCTAGTTTTCATCTGTTTGAATTTAATCATTTAATATTGAAAGTTTTCAACGTCATACTAGTTATGTAAATACATAATTATATGAATGTTTTGAGTATAGCATAGACATCGAGACCGGGCGAAGGGCCAGGGGAGGGGGGGACTAAGCCCCCCACTTATTTGGGAAAGATATATACATCGTATAAGCATTGAAAATGCAGCGTACCCTTTTGAGGTTTATTGCTCCCCTCCCTCGTTTGTTACCGACACCTATGTATTGGAAAGAAAATGATTTGGACTGAGGGATCCTATACCCGTCTTCTCCTCTTTTCGACGGGAGTAAATCAATTCTTTTTTGAGGTTAGGGTTAGGGTTAGGGTTAGTTTTTTGAAAGATAAATAACAAATAAAATCTTTGCATTACTAAAATATGATTTCTTTTTTTCAAAGTGCGTTAAGTGTGTCCATGGTAAAATATATTGATGTAGACTCTTAACGCACTTTGTGAAAAAGTTTTTCAAAGTGCGTTAAGTTGGTCCCAAATTTAACGCACCTTGAAAAAATTTTGTGCGTTGATTTTGTCCCAATTTTAACGAACTTTGAAAATTTTTTTCAAAGTACGTAATTTTTTGAAAGTGCGTTGCCACAGTGGGGGGTGGATCTTTAGCAACTTGTCAGACATTTCCAAACTCAAATGTTTTACGGGTCATTTAAATACCCCCAACCC